TCTACAGATGATCCAACCATCGGAGCTTATAGAACACCTCGTCGGCTTTCCAACGCATTTTGAATCACTCAAATCCGAGTTCGGACGAAGGAATTACGATGGAAACCGTAAAAAAACACCAAAAGGAGTGTCTCGGACCAACGAGACACCCTTGGGTGTCTCGGATCAATGGGAGACACCCTAGGGTGTCTCCAAACAAGTGGAGACACCCTGGGGTGTCTCCAAGACAGATTTGGGCTTTTAAGCATTTTTAACCGCTCCGTAGCCTTAGGCCTCATTTTTTCAGATCTGGAGTTTTGGAGAATTGGCGAAGCCCTGCCGGAGTGAAGAGTGATCGAGCACTTCAACGCAAGAGATTTTCTTCGTCAGATCTACATCACCCGTACCCGATCCTTAGTATTATCCCGTTATGGTAATACTAAGAAGAGCAAATATCTCGCTTTTATTGAGATAGGCGCTTCAAGTTTCTAGATCCCCTCGCGGATCGACGAAGCTCTGGACCAGATCTGACTGCCAAGTAGTCCACGGATATCGACGTCCCCGTCACAGGCTAAAGACCCACGCAAGCAAGAGACGACGAACGGATCTTGTGTTTATTTTCAAGAAAGTTGTAATTTTTATTTCTTTGTTGTTTGAATTCATTTGTAACGTATAAAGTTTAATGAAATCAATGATGAATGCAACTTTCGACGAAAACAATTGACAGAGAGAGCCAGAAGCATTCGGGTACAGTCAGGCCTACCGAAGCAGTTCTGGGCAGAAGCGGTCAACACAGCAGCTTACTTGATCAACCGAGGTCCACCGGTTCCATTGGAGCACAAAATACCAGAGGAGGTATGGTGCGGAAAGGAGGTAAAACTCTCACATCTTAAAGTTTTCGGTTGTGTAGCTTACGTGCATATTAGTAATCAAGGCAGGAATAAGCTTGATCCCAAGTCAAAGAAATGCACTTTCATCGGCTATGGTGAAGATGAGTTCGGCTACCACATTTGGGACAACGAAAACAAGAAGGTGATCAGGAGCAGAGATGTGATATTCAACGAGAAGGTGATGTACAAGGACATGCACAAGACAGATGACTCAGAGAGCGAGTCAATATTTGTGGATGCATATGATGTCCCGAGTAACCTCTCGGAAGAACCCAATGCAGAGGGTCCTCAGCCAGAAGAGCCTGTTGGACAAGATGGTGAGCAGGAGCCCGACGCACCGGCTCCGATATTAAGAAGATCTTCTCGTCCTCCTGTACCCAACAGGAGATACATGAACTATCTGTTGTTGACAGATGGTGGGGAGCCTGAAAGCTTTGATGAAGCTTGTCAGTGTGGAGATACGAGCAAGTGGGAGCTTGCAATGAAAGATGAGATGAAGTCTCTCATATCAAACCAGACGTGGGAACTAGCTGAGTTGCCCACGGGTAAGAAGGCAGTCCACAACAAATGGGTGTACCGGGTGAAAGAGGAGCAAGATGGTTCCAGAAGATATAATGCCCGGCTAGTTGTCAAAGGTTTCCAGCAGAAGGAAGGAATTGACTACACCGATATTTTCGCTCCAGTGGTAAAGCTAAATACTATCAGGACCGTGATGAGTATTGTAGCAATTGAAGACCTTCATCTCGAGCAGTTAGACGTGAAGACGGCGTTTCTTCACGGAGATCTAGAAGAGGAGATATACATGCACCAGTCAGAAGGTTTCTCAGAAGAAAAAAAGAAGAACCTGGTGTGCAGACTCAAGAAATGCTTGTATGGCCTGAAACAAGCCCCAAGGCAGTGGTACAAGAAGTTTGACGGCTTCATGCACAAGGAAGGTTTCTAGAAGTGCAACGCCGACCACTGTTGCTACTTCAAAAGATATCAGTCCAGCTATATCATCCTACTGCTGTATGTTGATGATATGTTGGTTGCAGGAGCAGATATGGAGGATATCAAGAGTTTGAAGCAGCAGCTGTCAAAGGAGTTTGACATGAAGGACTTGGGTCCAACAAAGAAGATCCTTGGAATGCAAATCACGAGAGACAAGAAGAAAGGGTTCTTGCGATTGTCTCAGACGGAGTACATCAACCGTGTTTTGCAAAGATTCAACATGGGCGACGCCAAGCCTGTGAGCACACCCTTGGCTAGCCATTTTGATCAGTCTCCTCAGTCAGAAGAAGAGAAAGAGAGTATGGCTCAGGTTCCTTACGCCTCAGCTATCGGAAGTTTGATGTACGCAATGGTCTGTACGCGACCAGATATTGGCCATGCAGTGGGAGTGGTCAGCCGGTTTATGTCGAATCCAGGAAAAGCTCATTGGGAAGCGGTCAAGTGGATTATGAGATATCTACGAGGCACCACACAGAAGTGTTTGCACTTTGGTAAGGGAGAGGTGGAAGTGCAAGGGTACGTAGATGCAGAATTCGGCGGTGAAGTTGATCACCGAAGAAGCACCACCGGCTATGTATTTACCGTCGGAACTACAGCTGTTAGTTGGATGTCACAGGTACAGAAGATCGTTACCCTATCCACTACAGAAGCTGAGTATGTTGCAGTAACTGAAGCCAGTAAAGAGATGATATGGCTTCAGGGCTTATTGACAGAGCTGGGATTCAAGCAGGAGAAGAATGTTTTGCACAGTGATAGTCAGAGTGCAATACACTTAGCGAAGAATTCAGCATTTCATTCTAGAACGAAGCATATTGCGCTTCGGTACCACTTCATCAGATCCCAGTTGGAAGATGACGTGTTGAAACTGGAAAAGATTCCAGGAAGTAAGAATCCAGCAGACATGTTAACAAAGACGGTGACCGTTCAGAAACTGGAGTTGTGCGCAACTTCAGTTGGCCTTCATGCATAGATGATGAGGGCGGAGCCACACAGGAGAGGAGCTTGATGAGATAGTCCGTTGACGGCGGTTTGATCTCCAAGTGGGAGATTGTTAGAAATGGGTGTAGATCAAACCTTAATTCCGGCGAGGAGCTCCGGTGAAGCTTCGACGAGCTTGAGAACCATGCAGGCGAGCGTGGACGTCGACTCAGGCGAAGTCGACGGCGAACTGCAGGCGTAGTTTTCAGGTGGAGCTCGAGCAGGCGAGCTCAAATTGTGGGAAACGCGACCCTCGCGTTTTGGATCCGACCCCGACCCTCGCGTTTGGGACACCGACCCTCGCGTCCAAGCTCTGACGTCCGCGTTTTGGCGCTCCGACGTCCGCGTCTTCGCGTGGCTGGCGACAGGCTGTCGCCAGCCTGTCATGTTTGCTTATATAAACCCCTCGTCGCCCTAGGGTTTTGTTGTTGCTTCTCCTCCTCTGATTTCTCTCTGGCGGCGGCACCAAAAATAACGCATCAACGTTCCTCTTCTCCAAACCTTGAAATCGCATCAGCGATTTTGGTTCTTCATCTCCAGCTCTCAACCGTGCATTGAGGGGAGATTAAGAAAGGACTTTAGAGAGAGAGAGAGAGAATTGAAAGGGTTTATTCCCTTTAATTATTAACACTGTAGCTACAGTGTTCATCTTTGAGAAATATCAGTTTTGGGATTTGCTCTTGATTTGTAATTTCTTGTTTGATTAATAAGAAATTGTCTGTGTGGCTCCCGAGGACGTAGGCAGTTGCCGAACCTCGTTAAATCTTGTGTATTTTTTTCTATTCTGCGTTTCTGTTGCATTAGGGATTTCAGCGTTAAATTCCCAACACCATATTGTGACAAATAAATTTTGTCATGCATTTTTTTACCCCAATTAACCTCTCTGCAGAGTGTAAGTTCATATGTGCACCGTAACTTTATGTTGAGAGTCTCTGATTACGGAATAAAGAGAATGCGCATATATGCAAGGAACCGTAAAATTAAACATCCTTTATCCAAAAACTCCAAGCGAACAAAACAGTAGTCAATTTTCCTAACAAATTATTCTTCAAAATTTTCTCAAAAACGTAAAAATTTAAAAACACTCTTATTCATCTAAATCAAATCAACTTCCAAACATCCAACTAGCTCATATGTAAACTGTCAATGTCAAATTAAGAAACGCAGTTATCGCTACTCGTACGTAAATTGTAAAAAGTTATAATTCAAGTTCAAATTAGGGCCTGTTTGTTTGCATGGAAGTAATTATTAAGTAGCTGAAGTGAAAGAAGTAGATGCTACTTCTGCTACTTCCAAGCAAAAAAGTGTGTTTGGTTCTTTGAAAAACTTATTTTCAATACTTTCTTAAACGCTTATGTGGCGCCTATACGTGCCATCCTTACTTTCAAAATATTTTTCCAATCCTCAATACTCAGAAGTAGCTCGAAAGTAGTTGAAATGCATAATAATTAGGAAATAAATAAAATTTTTATTAATATTTTCTTTATTAGTTACTTCTAACAACTTTTCATTAAAATTGCTCTTAATTTTAATAATTATTTTGTAGTAATTTGTGATGGTCGTCGGCCAGCTTTTCTTTGAGATGAAAAGAACAGTTTGTCTATTAATTCTTTGTCTAAATACCACGTTGATGTTATGATCAAAGGAGCGAGGGAGAAGGAAAGTTGGGAATTCATAGGAATTTATGGTCATCCGGAGTCTCATCGTAGGCGAGAAGTAAACAATTATTTTGAAGCAATGTGGTTGAAGGATTCTGCTTGCTCTCAAGTGGCGAGGGGTCATAGCGGCATGAAACTAGTTGTAACGTGCTAGATCAAATTAAAGAGCATATCGTGACTTTAAAATTGTGGAAGCAACATGTGTTAATTACTTCCTGGTAATATTTCCAAATGTTATCCAAACAAAAAAAGTAAATAAAGAATAAGAAGATCTACTTCAATTACATCTAAAAATATATGAAACAAAAAAAAATACTATTTCTACTACTTCCTACTTCATAGTTTTAAAAGTTACTTCTATAACCTATTTCTTACTTCTAATAATTCTATTATCCAAACGGGTCCTTAGGAAAAACGCTCGAGCTACGGGATCGGGTTTTGATCTTACAATGAGATCAGACCCGCACCCGACTCACTAAAACTCCACAGTCCAACAGATTTTTTGCGAATAAGCCCTCGCTCTCACTCTCTCTCTCTCTCTCTCTCTCTCTCAAGCTCGAGGAGGAGAACAATGGCTTCTTTATTAGGGTTTTCAGCCGCTAACAGTTTGATCTCGATTTCGCGCCATTCTTCTTCTTCTTCTAAAAGACGCCTTTTGTCCCCTGCTCCCAAGTCTTTGGTAACTCCTTGCATCTGTCATCACTCAAAATTTCATCTTCCATAAAAGAAAGCAGTTTTTTTATTAAGTAAACCATTAATGCTCATTTGATTCTTGAAACAATATTCTCATGATTTCTTCGATTAATTGCGCCCAAAGATTGAATGTTTTTCTTCAGTAAATAGTTAACTAGTGTTCATTTTGAGTTATATAGAAGCTCTTTAACATCCTAAAGTTTTACCTTTTTTAACTTTGGTGTCTGAAGTCTTCTATCTTGACAATTTGATGCCCCAAAGGGCAAAAAACTTGAGCTGGTCTTTTTCAAGATTATCAACTTATAAAAGAGAATGAGAGAAATTTTTACCAAATTTCAGTTTTTTTTGAAGTTTGGGAAAAGTGAAGGACAAAGTTAGTGCTTTGAGGTATCAAATTGTGAGAATAAAGTCAATTTGAAAACTTTGGGATGTCAAACTGTCAAAATATAACTTCGGAGCATTAAAGTTAAAAAGGATGAAACTTTGGGGTATTACGGTGTAAAGTTTACAAATGTATGTTGATAACTAAATTTAGTAACTAAGTAATTATGCGCAGAGTTGCAAATTGATAGAGCCACTGGGGTTCAGTAATGGAGCAGTACCGCGTATTCCTATTGTTAATGATCAGACATTGCCTGGTTTCTTGACTGGAACAAGCCAAGGCGAGTTGCGTGAGAGGCAAGATACTCGGTTGCGTATCTTCTCAGGGACTGCGAATCACTCCCTTGCCAAGGTAATCATTTTTAACATTCATTGCTTTTGCTCAAAACGATTATTTTCAGTTAAGAAGCAATTGCTGGAATTCTTGTTATCGAATTCTATTATTCATATATTAAGATATGGTTATCAAATTGGTTATGTAATTTTAATACCGAAAGTGGTTCCGAATAGGCGACTATGGCATGCATACATGAGTCTTCTGTTTTGTTTAACTGTATTTGGTTGGAAGGAAAGCTTGAGAAGAAATATTTGATGTTGAAGAATTATTCCAAAAGACATGTGTTCTCCTACTTTACTTTTAATATTATCTACCTGTCTTCATCTCAGTTCTATGTTCTTATTGTTCTAATTTGGTCTTGCATCGGTATGGAGTGAAAGAAATATACTAGTGGCATAACTATAGACTTAGCCGGAACTTGTATTTGAGATACAGAATGTGAAAAGGAACTTAAATTAAGTAAAATATAGGTACATGAAGGAGTCATAGTAGATGAGGAAAAATAATAAGATATAATTGTGTGTGAAACTATATCCTGGAAGAGAAGCTGCCTTTAGGTCACAGACTCCCAGTTGTCGTTTATATTTCTGTGTAATCCACTTCTTCAGAAACTTAGAGATAGCCTATAGTTCATTCAGGATTATACACGAGGATTTTCTCCGAGCATTTGGCTCGGTCCAATTATTTCCAATGACAAAATTATGAGTTAATACACAAGTGGCTTCTCATTTCAGGGTTCTTAACCTCAACTGATCACACATGGATTTTTGTTCTGTAGGAAATTGCTAGCTACATGGGACTGGAACTTGGAAAAATCAAGATTAAGCGATTTGCTGATGGTGAAATATATGTTCAATTGCAAGAGAGTGTAAGAGGATGTGATGTATTTTTAGTGCAGCCAACATGCCCGCCTGCAAATGAAAATCTCATGGAACTTTTGGTAATGATTGATGCATGCCGAAGAGCATCTGCAAAAAATATCACAGCAGTTATACCTTATTTTGGCTATGCAAGAGCTGACAGGAAGGTAAGAAAGAGCTGACAGGAAGGTAAGAAATACTTTTGTCAAGTTTTATTTTACTGATACTCCAGTGTTTCTCGTGGAGCTTAATGTGTGAGAGAACTTTCTATTTATTTCGTTCATATTTGAATGATTATCTTGGTCTCCAGTTGTTTACCATCGCACTAAATTTTAACAAGGCTTCACTAGAGATTGTACCGATTGTTGTTTTCAGTTTTTTTAAGTTTCCATGAAATTGTTGCCTTTTGGGTCTGTATTTGCACACTGCTTCATCTTTCATAATCCATGCTTGTTTTAATGAATATTAACCAGTTAAACATTTGTTCTTGCTATTTGAATGATTTCTCAGACTCAAGGACGGGAGTCTATTGCAGCGAAACTTGTTGCAAATTTAATCACAGAAGCAGGTGCAAACCGTGTACTTGCTTGTGACCTTCACTCCGGGCAGTCGATGGGATACTTTGACATTCCTGTAGATCAAGTCTATGGTCAGGTACCTAACTTTGTAATCCTTTTAATGGAAGAAAATTTTGTTTTATTTTATTGTTAGCTCTTTCAAGGGGATGCTTTCTGATAACTTCCAGATAAAACTAACAAACTTTTCCAAATTGGTTTGATTTTATTCTGTAATCTTTTTTAATCTTCCCCTTGTTTACATGATGATTTCCTTTTGTTTTATAAATGTCTAGCCTGTGATTCTTGATTACCTGGCAAGCAAAACCATTTGTTCCAATGACTTGGTGGTGGTCTCTCCTGATGTTGGAGGTGTTGCAAGGGCACGAGCTTTTGCAAAAAAGTTATCCGATGCACCCCTAGCCATTGTGGATAAACGACGCCAAGGGCATAACATTGCTGAGGTAAATATTATCAACCTCACCTGGGACCACCTTCCACCCTTGCCGCCTATTCTGGTGGTGCTATGTAAAAAATCCTTACAGTATATGGTAATATGAATTGCATCAAGCAAGATTTACTGGTTTCCAGATCTTTTAACCACCACCACCCGTTATTCTTGTCCTTCTCTGAATATTAATCCTTAAAAGATCTGATAACATGAATTGCATTAAGAAAGATTCCTTAACCTTGAAATCGTTCTATTCATTGATATGATAGGGAACCTTGGTTTGGCAGGGTGTATAAAGAGGGAAGGTGAGGTAAAGAGAGGTGCAATTAGGTGCAAGGAAGTATACACATTTTCTGCTTCTTGTTTGGTAGGAGGGGAGGAGAGAGAAAACACATCAATTTATAATTCATTCTATCTCCTCTTGACTCCCTCCAATTTGGAGGGATTCTTCTCTCTCCTCATTTTTAATTCATTTTGAGCCATCTCCTACTCTACCTTACTTCCCTCTACTCTACCTTCCCTTCTAAAAATTCTCTACCAAAGGCACTTCAGATTTTTATCCCTCCCTTTACTTTACAGTATAGATAAAATAAGGCTTACCTGTGATGTCACTGAGATATTGTTGTAAAACGATCTTGTTCCCTGATTTTCACATTCTACCAATTGGCTAGGTGATCTGCCACATAATAGCCTTTTGATATTTATATGTAAGTTTATTTTATCAAACCTATCAGTAGTTACTAGTCGGGGACTTATATACCCATGTTGAGTTCTACAATTTTTCCATGTGGGACAAATGGTTTGGACCAACCATTCTCAACAATCTTCACCTTGGTTCAAACCAGTTCACCTTGGTTCAAACCAGTTCAACCTTGGTTCCACCTTGAACTAACACCGATCCACCCGGCTCCACCTGGACCTATACCTTTATCCACCATGAATCCATCTTTGAACTGTCCATGTAGATCACCACTCAACATTGTCCGCAAGATCGTTCACCTTTGGTCAGTGCACATCTCGAGGTACACCCTATTTCACCTTACTCGAGGAACCTACACAACCACCTTGACAGCCCCTGGGTGTACGTAGGACTATAGCGACTCCACCTTTGGCTTCTCCGAGTCTAACTCCACCATAGGCTCCATCGAGTCCAGCTACCAGGACACATTTTTTTGTAGCGACTCATCGCCTTAGGTTCTACCGAGTTCTTCCTAACTCCACCAAGCCCAGCTACCGGTACTGCTTCACAAGTGCGTGGATTCACCATCAAGCTTTGATACCAATTGTTTAGGAGGGGACCAACTGGGTCCGCCGGTCCAAGCACATAGTAATGATATTGTCCCCAACTTAAACACCTTTTGGCCACAAGTGTGGGGTTTTAACTTAAAAGGCCTCGTTACTATGTGGAGAGGGCCACAAGTGTGGGGTTTTAACTTAAAAGGCCTCGTTACTATGTGGAGACAATCCCCCACTTATATACCCATGTTGAGTTCTACAATTTTTCCATGTGGGACTAATGGTTTGGACCAACCATTCTCAACAGTTTCATCTGTAACAAGCTTACAATTTTAAAATTTTAAGCATACTAATTCATTGGATTCATTTTATGGTATTTTAAGGCTCAATTTTTTTCTTATTTATCTTCAACGGCATAACTTTGTTGTTTCTTAGTGACTTTCCTTCAACTTTTAGATTCCAAATTAAAGACCTAAGCAATTTTTCAGGTGATGAATCTGATTGGTGATGTCCGAGGAAAAGTGGCTGTCATGGTAGATGATATGATAGACACTGCTGGTTAGTTATCTCCTGCATAGAAGTTTTTTGCTGTCTGTGCAATAATAGTTGGGAATGTAGAACTTTGTCTGTGCATAACTATGCATTTATATGTATTATGTTGTGCCTGTGTGTGTTCATGGATTTGCGCATATCTACATGTTATCACCAATTTGTATGCATACATGTCGATCCTTTTGGATGCTATTAAAGTTTTCATTTTGACATTTAAATTGTTGTTTTGTTGGAGTTAGGTACCATTGCGAAAGGGGCAGCTCTTTTACATCAAGAAGGAGCAAGAGAAGTGTATGCATGCAGCACACATGCTGTTTTTAGGTAACCTTTATCCGCTGATATGTTCTGGTTTCCTTGAGAGAACAAAATGTACCTAACTTATAGTCTTAGATAGGAGAACATGGTTTTGTGTTCCCTACTTATTATTTAGTTGGTTGGAAACTCAAGTTCTACTGGGTACATGATGACAATATTAGTTGTCATTGAGTTTGATGCTAAATTATATGATAATGATATGTAATAAAATGTGACATAGCCAGAAGTAGCCAGGGAGAGCGTCAACTTTGGAAATTTTATTTTTTATTTTGCGGACTTGTCTTTTCCAAGCATTTATTTGGGTGTTTTCGTGAATCTTTCTGTTAATGTATCTCTTGTACTTTGATGTTCCCTTACTTTATATATCACATCTTTTCTATTGTTCAAATTGTTGATAGTCCCTTGCTTATCATGGCAGCCCTCCCGCAATCGAGAGATTGTCTAGCGGCCTGTTTCAAGAAGTCATTATCACGAACACTATCCCTATACCGGAGAAAATGAGTTTCCCTCAGTTGACAGTTTTGTCCGTGGGAAACCTTTTAGGGGAAACTATTTGGCGCATTTATGATGATTATTCTGTGAGTATCACCTTTCTATGACAAGTTTATTCTTCATCTTTTCTTTGTCTTTTTTTTTTGGTTTTGTTTTTGTCTTGATGGTTTCCAAATTTGTAAGGTGAATGGTCCGCTGAACTTTGAAAAATAGACAAAATTTCTCCTTCCTACTAATATCTCATTCTACAGTCAATGCTTATCTTTGCTTACTGTCTGTAACTTTTCTTGCCGCAGAACAATAAAAGTTGTCTACTAAAAAGGAACACTAATCTGATGCTTAACAAATCAGAAACTTCGAGACTCGCTTATGATACTTTCTTTCTTAATGTAGGTTGGCTATGAACCTTACTCGAGCTCGGAGATTGACTGATCTTCGTGGGAAAACAGTTGAGTAACAACGACAATGAGGTGGGAAAATGGTGAATAAATATCGGTTATCATCAACTCCTTGTTAGCAAAGCATAGTGTTCCATCCTTACGGAATCAGGGTACTGTATGTCTTTCTTCAAATTCATTACGGTAGTTCTTACTTCTTGTTTTAGAGCGTATTAGGTGTCCAACATGCGTTCTCTTTCGCGTAACGGCTATGTGTTTTGAGTGAGCTGAGAATGGGAGCCTTAAATGCTTACCTGCCTAACTTATGTTACGTTGCTGGTTCTTGTATATAAATGTTTTTGGAGTTAAGCTGTGGGCATGATATATATTAATTTCTTTTGAAGTTTTTGCTGAGTACCGAGTAGACAACTAATGTTTATGTTGTTTGGTTCTGCAAGCATTCTTTACTAGTTTAACTATTTATTAGATGCTGTTTATTTTAAGATTAGCTAAATTAACTAATAGTTCTTTAACTTTTCTTTTTGGTTATTCTTTCATTCTTTCTGTCACGCATATGCTTAATTGCATTTGGTGTTTGGTGCTGCCAGGCTCTAAACATTCTATTCAATCATATTTGTTCTCATCCAGCTCCACATACAGATCAAATTCCTCTTGTTTCATTCCTCATTGCTCTATTCAGCAGCAATGTAGTGCCCAAATTTCCTCATTGCTCACATGAGTCTGCTTTCGTTGTGATATAAAGCTGAGGGCATAATTCTAGATACACATTTTTAAGTATATGTATGTATATATATTGTAAGTACATTATATTTTACAACTATTACAAGCCAAAAACTTAGCCAAGACACAATATGACCCTACCCTCAAGAGAGTAGGCTTTTACATTCTATATAATGGTGGTAGATTTGTCCTTCATCTTGTCCAGTCTCACCATGAGCAACTTTTGCAGCGCGACACTTTTCCTTCAGCTCTTGTTTGTTCTCTCTCTTTCTCATGCTCTGAGGCTCTCTGCTGGAGAAAAAAAAAGAAAGAAAGAAGAAAAAGCATTACTCTTTCTTTTGTCTCTGTGTGCATGTTTGTTAAAGCAAATGCTTATGAAAGAATAATTGTTAGTTTTGTTATTAGTTTCAGATGTGGGTAAGTTTTTTCATTTACAGTGACTAGAAAGAATACCAAGTATTTTTTTTATTTTTTTATTTCCTAACTGCATAATCTTAACACTTCACTCCCTTTACAGTGAATATAAAACTGAAAATACCTGTTCGGCATGATGAAAACTATGCCGAAAGAATTTGATCTAGAAAGATTAATACTTCCTATAGAAGACCAAGCATACACACATTGACCTTCCCAGAAACAGAAAATAAGAGGTTTTTTTTATCTTTTTGTGTGTGTGTGGGTTGGGGGGGGGTTTACCTCCATTTCCAAATTTGCTCGCCGAATCTGTACAAAATTTCCATCTCAAAAGATCAACAAGAAGAACATGAAATAAACAACACCCAAATTTAAATAAAAATAAAAATTTCAAATAAATGTTACTACTACTGGAGCTTTTCTGGTACCAGAGTTCTAGCACGAGATCGAGCAGCAGAAGCACGGTTCTTGAGCATCCTCTGCCTTCGTATCTCTGCTCTTTCTACTGATCGACTAGAGCTACCCTCATTCCTCTTTCTAGCACTCTGGTTGTTTTTACCTTGAATATTCAAGTTGCTTCCATCATTAACAACTTCTTCCTTCGTGACAAAATTTTCGTGCCAAGTGCACGAGTTGTTTTCTTCGGTAAAATTCTCTTCCTTGATAACACTTTGAGGATTTATCTGCTGGTCATTGACACCAAAAATGGCATTGGAGAATTCTTCACTAAGGTTGGGAGGTTCCAAATCGCAATTGCTCCAAATGTCATCAAGGAAGTTATCGATGTTGTCACGATTGTTCAATATGTAATCTTGCTCCATCTTTATACGTTTCTTGTGCCAATCCTTTGGATCTTCAGGCTCCATTTATAAAAGAAGAAGTGAGTCCTAAGCAAGAGAAGGGGAAAAAGGTTCAGGCTAATTTCTTCTCTAAGAATTGAAATTTCAACAATTGTACTTGCTTGAAAAAAAAATATCCGACATTACGAGCAATTCAAGGAATAAAAATAGATTCAAATATAAGATAAAATTGTTCAACTATAAACAACTTGTGTGTATATCAAGCTTGAAATTAATTGCGAAGAGAGATTAATAGAAATTTACATTCTTCTTATAAAGTTCAATGCAGGCTATCTACAAGGGCAGGTAGACCTCTGTACTATAGCTGTTTTGAACTTACTGCCCCTCTATTTTTTTCTTTACTGATAGGCCCGCCTAAGTGAACATTTTTATTATCTTACCCTCAGAGGTCTATTTGTCAACAAATAAAAAAAAAAAAAAAACAGAAAGAAAGAAATCACCCAGGAGGTCAATCTGCAAAAATAAATCTAGACGGATAGTAAGTTCAAGACAGTGATACTAAGGGGTTCTATCCGCAATTAACCCATAATACAATCTTATCTAAGCCCATAAGAATTCTATTGTCAAAAATTTCATTCTATTGTCAAAAATTTCAGTTGATCCTTCTTTTGGTAGTTCTCCAAAAAATAGTAATAGAAATTGGAAGTTTAATAAATTGGTAACTATTGAAGATTTAAAGTAATGTGTGACAATAAAACTTGCAATTGGATTAAAATTACAAACATGCATTGGCTATGATGAATGAATTTCATCAGTTTCTACTGAATAATCAACCCACTAGGCGAAATTATGAATAATGAAAACAATCTAAAAATAATCCAAATTTAAGAAAATTTGTTCATATTACCAGAGGCTAAATTAAGAAAGAACACTAGAAAAAAAAATGGAAACTTTAGTTGATCCTGAAAATTAAAACTCAATTATTGTCTAAAAAAATAAGGGGGGATTGAGCAGTTCTTGTCTGAGAAAGATCTTTCCATTGTGAAAGAGAACAGATTACACGCATGCAACAAAAACATTCAAGAAAATTAGCAATAAATAAAGTTAAAAAAAAAAGATTTTGGCAGAGGCCACCTGATCTTGAGATCGTTGCTTTAGATTGAAAATAGTGCGGTAACAGGGGGAAGTTCCAATTTCAATTATGAGCTTCCAATCTAGAGCTCTAGCAGAACCTCACCTCTGTTTCTAGGGTTTGTTTGAAGCTCAGAGAGAGAGAGAGAGAGAGAGAGAGAGGGGGGAGAGGAGTTATTTAGAAGGAACTGAGAGTTGTATATTTTGTTTCTTTAATTATTTTATTTAAATTATAATGATATAATATAATATAATATAATATAAATTGAGCTACGTTGCTATTAATAGTATCCAACATGTGGATACTATCAATCCAATTGTTAAAGTCTGGAAATGAAAATCAATACTGATAAATGTAATATACTACACATGAACTATTTAGAAATAAAATTACAAAGAACATCGATGTGTTTTGGATCATGTATCAACGAGAGCGAAAATATAATATACTATAATATAATATATAATTTAATACGAGGGT